AAAAAAAAAAAAAAGAATCCTGATACCTGCCATCCACAGAAGTAGAGCACAGCAGTAAAGAGCACAGACTTTGATGTCAGCCAGATTTGAGTTCAATTACGAGTCAGCTATTTTCCAACCGTCACCTTTGGCACTTAGGTAAACCACGTAGTACAAAGTCAAATGGCCAAAGAGGGTGGAAAGGTTATGAGTGAGCACATATGGTATAAGATAGCGGAGGATGAAGGAGAGTAACAAGCTAGATAGTACGAACACATCTAAGAGGCGTTTTTAAGTCACTGCAGCAAAAGAGCACTTAGAATAAAATTTAGCCCAAAGGCTAGATTATGATCTCTGAGTCCCAACTCTCTGTGCTTCCGTTTCCTCATCTGTAACATTTTAATAATATAGGAATGTTGTGAAGCTGAAATGAGATGATATACATAGAGTATAGCTCTTAGTAAATGATACTTGTAAATTCTAAGTTTCCTTCTCTTCTTACTTGTAACACTTTCCCTCTATCTCTTGACAGCTCTAGCCTAGACCTCTACCCTGAGCTCCAGATTATAGCATCTCTAATAATAGGCTCTCAGGTTTGGGAGGACGAGAACCACGACTGTCATGCATTTCAGTCAGTGCCTAGTACAGAGCCTGACACTAAATTTCTACAGAATTACTTAATACATCCAACTGCCTACTAAACAACTTAATGACCCATAGACATTTCAAATACAATGTGTCCAAAACTGAAATCATCCACTACTAAAAACTACCACTTTTGCAAAAGAACAGCATGCCCATATAAAGTTGTAAAACAGTTGGAAAAACCTCCCATGAAAGACAGGTCTACACAGTGTCTAAACTTAGACTATGACTCCCCCAGGAATTTAGCTTACTTTTCATCCTGGAGTCTTTGCTTTAAAGAATTTTTTTTTTGTATCTTTGTTTTTAATTTAATTCCCATTGGAGGGAGAAAGTAAGTAAACTATGGAAAAGTGAGGTGTTTCACTATTATTGCTTTTGCCTGTTTGACAAATAGACACAAAGAAGAGCAAAAAAAATGACTTTCCCAGAGTCATATGATCTGTTACAGAATTGGAAACTGACCTCAGGCCTTCTTGCCCTCTGTCTTGTCTCCAACTGTAATATTAATATGTTCTTCCGGCTCTTCTCTGAGGCACACCCTGCTCAGTTTTTTTAAAGCAGTTTAATTTTTAACAGTTTTATAATTGTTTACATGACATGTCCTAGGGATGTTTACACAGCTGATGACTCAACAATTTAATGAGAAGAATCATTTGTAGGGAAAACTTAACACTGGGATGAGAAAAAAAAATTTATTTCAAGAATGAGGCTTCTTGGTAACAAAGAGAAGGGTTGATGAAATGGAGGTGAGGTGTCGAATTCTTTCCTCCTTACTAAGTAACTACTTGATAATCAGACTCCTAAGTCAACAAATTCAGTGGTGCAAACATTTGGATACTGTTTGTGTTGTGGTTACAAAAAAAAAAAAAAGGGCACTTGCCTCATATCCAAGATGTGTGGGTGGTATGGAAAGGCTAGGTATTATAATAAATAGGCACAAAGACATTAAACCTAACTGGCTGGGTTCAAATCCCAGTTTTGCCATCTATTAATTCTGTGATGGGAGAAAATTACTTCTGTATGTTTTAGTTTCTTCATCTGAAAAATCAAGACATGTAATGATATCAATCATAAATTTCTGGTGAGGATTAAATGAGTATTTGGGTGATAAGTTGGCATAACAAAAAAATTGGATTCATCCCTCACACCTCAAAATGAAATTATTCAAGTACTAGAAAAACTAAAAAAGAGAGGATTTTCTTTACAATCTTAAACGTGCTAAAGGCCTTTCTAAGTATAACACAAAGCCTAGAAACCATTACAAAAAAACATAGTTGAATCTATTAATCTATATAAAAGTGGTTTTTTTGTCAAAATGTCAAAATTATAACATGTCAAAAATGTTATAATGACATATTGTATAATTCATTGCTCTATAGTAAAGACATGAGAACGGGGCGAATCTTACATAATGTTGAGCAAAAGAAGGCAAACTAAGGAATGTATATTGCATGATTTCATGTTGGCAAAACTAATCTACGGCATTAGAAGTCAAGGAAAATATTGTCTTGAAGTGTAGGAAAGGCATAGCAATGGAGACGGGTGTTCAAGGGGGAAATCTGGGATACCTGTAGATAGTATGCTGTCTTTGTCATTGGTGTTGATTGCAAAGATATGTTGGAAATATATCTGTCTCCTAATTGTGGTGGTGGGAACACAGATCTACACACATGTTAAAACTGACAGAACTGAACATTGGAAGTAAAATTCAATTTTACTGTGTGTAAATTTTAAAATTATAGTTTCCCATGAAAACATATAGGTACAAAACAGAAAAAAGAATGAGGCAGCTCTATGCATAAGGATATGGGAAAATCTCAAAGATTTTTTTGTTAATTGGGAAATCAA